GGAGGGAGGGAGGGAGAGGGAGAGGCCTTTGCAGTTCATAGCCTGTCCAGTTATTTGGAGAAGTAGTAAGAGGTGAATTGGTGGTGGTAGGCAGAAAGAAGGAAGAAGAAAGAAGATGCATTGTAAGCATTCAGGTGTTTTGAGGAATGACTAGGATTTAAATTGGTCATATGACTTCTAAACGCTTAAATTTAAGTTAAATTAATCATTGCTTATATCTTTGCCAATAAGGCATTTTTTTTTCCTTAGGCATAAAAAGACTGGGCTGGGGAGATGCCTTAGTAAAGTGCTTGCTGTGCAAGTCTGAAGATCCAAGATTAGATCCCTAGCACCCACATAAAAAGCTGGGCATGGAAACACTAGCCTGTGATCCCAGTGCCATGGGGAGGCAAAGACAGGAGGATCCCTTGGGCTAACCAATCTACTTGAATTAATGAGTTCCAGGTTCAGGGAGAGACAAAAGACACAAAAGCAGTTAATAGAGATGTTATTGTCAGGGAAATCACATGCTATATGAAGTTATATTTCAGGAAACTGTTTTCATACAGGTAAATGGTTGCAATTTTGTGATGAAAACAGGAAAGCCTACACATTTATTAATGGTATAGTATTTGACTATGCATGATACTGTTTCAAACCATTTAAAACCATTTGACTTACTAACAGAGCTTTTTCCTGCATGCACTTCTTTCCATGAGTGATTTCTCAATGCTTTCAACAGCTAACAAAACAGAGTTATCCCCTTTTATTATAACAGTTGTAACAAAACTTGCAGAAATCCTGTTTATTTATGCTCTTAAGGTATATATGTTATTAATAACAAGGCAGCTTGCCATACTAACAAACTTCCAGGGGATGGGAGTGTTTCAAAATGGACTTTGCTGTGGAATTCTAAATTTATTCCCTCTCCCTGAGGAATATTGCTGCTATAGAATTATTAACAACCTTGGGTTGTTTAGGAAGAAGAATTTGGAATTGATGATTCTTATTCTGAAAGAGGCGCACAATACAGTCAGACCCACCTAGAGATGATGGAAACTGAATTGGCTGGGAAACAGCATGAGATTGAAGAGCTAAACCGAGAACTGGAAGAAATGAGGGCCACCTATGGGACTGAAGGACTACAGCAGGTAGCTTTGCCTTCTGTGGCTTTGGGCTTGCTACCACAAAACAGAATTAGGAAACGTGAATGATAGTGTGCATGATAGTGTGCACATTCTCTTTAAGTGTGAGGCTTAAAATGCTAACTTAAGGTCATCATGTTCTTGTTCAGAGCATAAACAAGCCCATTTACAATGAGAATTCCTGAGACACAGCTAAGATGTGTGGACTTTTAACTATATAAAGTAGCTAGAGTAAAATCACTTCATTAAGACAGATGTTTTTCTAATCAGCCTGAGAGATGATTATGGTGTAAAACATAAGAAATTACAACTTAGACCCATTTAGAGTGTCAGCAAGTCCTTGTAAGTAATCTCTGGGTAGAGTGACATCTGTTGTGCAGGGAAGTCAAGATGAAATCAAGATGAAGTGGGACACTGGTAAGCATGGCAGAATATGTTTGCTTTTCCTCTTCAGAAACTGGCTGGGATTAAATGTGTCTATTGTTGTTACCTAGGAACAGATTGTGGCACTCCAAAATATAAAGACACTTTGTTCTTCTATAAGCAGATACATAGAAAAGCCAAACCAAATATATTCTTTTCCTTAGTGCAGATAATTTCTTTCAAATTTTGACATAAAACTAATTTCGACAGGCCTGTACTAGCTTTCAGTTGCTTAAAAATTCTAAGAGTTTGCTATTGTAGTTTGAATTTCATATTTTTGAAGAACAATCATCTGTAATAATAATGAATTTTGAAAAATAATAAACCTGGCACTTACAGTTTCACTGGTTTCATTTAGTTACAAGAATTTGAAGCTGCCATTAAACAAAGAGATGGAATCATAACTCAGCTCACTGCCAATTTACAGCAGGCAAGAAGAGAGAAGGATGAGACAATGAGAGAATTTTTAGAGTTGACAGAACAAAGTCAGAAATTACAGATTCAATTCCAACATGTAAGTATTTTAAGACTAGTAGACAGAATTTGCTAGTTTACTAATGAATTAATTTTTTTTCACTTTTCAGAACATAAAAACTGATTATAAAGTTATTTTCTTTATGATACCAGAAAATGGTGAATTTATGTTACGTTAACCAAGCGTTTAATTTATACCTCTTGAGTGCTGTCCTACTATTATTTAAATTGAATTTCCCCATCTCTATTTTGAAATTTTACAGTTTCTTACCAGGGTGATTGGATTTTGCAAGAATTAATCTGTATTTGCATCGTATCTTTGCCAATCCCAGTATGGTTTTAATTAGGTTCTAAAATGGTAACTGGACCTAATATATTCCATTTAAAGTAGAAGGGTGTAATAGCAAGTAACTGAAAACAATTTGAAGTATCTTAAGCCAAAGAGAATTTAATATACTCACACAGGCATGTCTTAACACAATTTAAGGGCAGAAATACAGTCAGGCCTCTAAAAAGGATTGGAGCTAGAGTCTGGAAAGTCAACAGTTGCCAGGAAGTACTTCCACATCCCACTCCCTAGTCATGTCTGCCTCTGTCGTCATTTCCTCACTAGACCTGCCTTCTATCTTCCATGCAAAGGATAATTTCATTGGCTCATCAGTCCTAACAGCATCTGGTTTGCTGAAATCACATGCATATGAAGTGAGCAGAGCACATGGAGAATCAGTGTTGGCCAGTTCTCTAAAGTAGTCTTTTCATAATTTACTATGTAGAGACTTGTTTCTGTTTTCAAGTTACAGGCTAGTGAAACTCTGAGGAACAGCACTCACAGTAACACAGCTGCAGATTTAATGCAAGCCAAGCAACAGCTCCTCACGCATCAGCAGCAGCTAGAGGAGCAGGACCATCTGTTAGAAGATTACCACAAAAAGAAGGAGGACTTCAAAATGCAAATTAGTTCCTTAGAGGAGAAAATTAAAGTGTATGAAATGGTAAGGAAGGCAACTGACTTGTAGCAATTCTGTAACTAAATTTTCTGATTAATATTTCTTTTTTCTTATGCACATGATTTATAAATTTTTATAATTAAGACTAACTTTTTGAATATGTAAAATTATTTCAAAAGCAATTGAGAATCTCACAATAATACAGTTTTTAAGATATTACTTATTATTGTATTTCTTTAAAGGGAACTGCATATTTTAACCTGAATTCTCAGAACAACTAGATTTCCTTTTCTCATCTGAAAGTATTACCACTTATTTTAGGTATGATTCTGAAATATTTTTGTAACGAAATGAAATTTTATGAATTTAATTAGAAAAAGTAAATGTAATTGATTCTCTATTCATGCAGGTTAAGCTCTATTTCTTGGGAACTTATGTAGCATGTAAGTGGTCTTTGGGGCAGGGGGTGGCATTATTTACCACATAGATTGTAACCTTAAATCCTAAAAATAATTCCTCTTGTTAGATTCTACTTTCATTGATTTTTCAAGCATGAAATAAAAGTTCAAAAGTGATTTGTGGCAGGTTGCTCTATTCCCAAGTACCAGAGTTGGCCTGGAGAAGGCACAGACCTTGTACCTCAGTGCACTGCCCCCTGCTGTCTGCATGCTCTGGCCTGTCCCTTTCAGAGCTGAAGCAAGACAGAACATGTCCACCTGGTTTGGTTTCAGCTTAAAGCTTGTGTCTAGCTATTACTATTGATTTGAAGAATCAAGTAGGATAATTAAAAAATATGGAATCTATGAGTAATGAGATGAATTGTTCTTGTATAGTATATTTTTACAAGCTTAGGAGGCTTTTTATATGACAAATTGAGAAATTACCAAAGCAAAAATATTTCTTGGAGAGCTGGAAGGGAGGGATGGCACACCTGTAATCTCAGCAGTCAAGAGTTGAAGAAGGCATTAAAGTCAGAGGTTTAAGGTCAGCATTGCCTACATGAGACCCTATTTTAAAACTGAAAGAAAAAACCCAGGGGCTTGGGCCGATACTCAACCAATAGTATTTGCCACATAAGCATGAGTACCTTCGTTTAGATCCCCATTACCTATAAAAAGCTCAGCACCAAGACTGAGGGGGCCGAGACAGGAGAATCCCTGGAGCTCACTGGCAGCCAGTCTAGCTGAATTGGTAAGTTCCAGGCTTAATGAGAGTACTTGTATCAAAAAATGAGTGGAAAGTGATTAAAGAAGACTCCTGACATCAACTTTTGACCTCCATATACACAAGTACTGCAACTACACTCACACAGTTACACGGACATAAACACATACATTCACACATACCACACATATACATGATTATTGGGTAATAAAATTATTCACTAGCATTTATTAAGTGACCTAGTCCATAAATGGCAGCATGCATAGCATCTTAAACACATTAGTACATTGTGTCAGCACTACAGCCCTAAGAGATAGAAGCACCATTACCATGTCCATTGTAGATGAGGTTACCAAGACAAATAAGAAATTATCTGTGTACACAGTTAATGAGATGATAAAGCTGATTCCAAACCGCAATTGTCTGACTCCAGAGAGTACTCTTAGAAAACTAGAAAATACTCAAATTGCCAAAAATTGTGAAAAGGCCACTCTTCACAACTAAGATCATTTTTAAATTATATAGATGTTTAGAGAACACATATTCTAGCAAGCCCCTGTAAGAGACATAATGATACTTTGCCCTTTCCCTCACTGAATCCATGGTTTAGTAAGACAGATGTGGCAGGTACTTACGGCACCAGAAAATAACAGTAAGTACAGATAAACAAGTGTTTTGAAAATCTCTGTAGGTCTTACCTTATATGAGAAGAGACTGAGGATAAGCCTTACTGGGAGATGGTATTTGAGGTAGGTCTGTTCCGTAAATTGGGATAATCCAATTTTAATTATATTTTGCTTCCCTAGCAGTGATGGCATAGTAGCTACTCAATACTTGGTGGATGAGTGCATAAATGAATCTCACCTAGAAGAAGTGGGTAAGACAGTTTAGGTTAAAGAGTATAGGGAACAAAAATCAATTTGTCTAGAAAGTAGTCACCTTAAAAAGTGAGTATTGCCAGGGATAATAACAGAACAGTGGTCTAAGCCTAGGCAGAAGCATCTAGATGTTTAATTTTATTCAATAGGTAGAGTAACTTGAGATACGAATAATTCTTTTTTAGTAGGGATAATTACTTTTGCTTATGTGAAGGTTAGTAAGAGTATGTCAATCTTATTTTTATTACATATGTATTTAAATTTCTCATTAAAAAAATTAACCAGGGCAGGAGAGATGGCTCAGTGGTTAAGAGCACTGGCTCTTCTTGTAGAGGACCTGGATTCAGTTCCCAGTACCCACATGGCCCCTAACAACTGTCAATAACTACAGTTCCAGGGGATCTGGTTCCCTCCTCTGGGACTTCTTGGGAATTGCATGCATTGGTACACTTACATACAGACAAAACACTCATGCATATAACATAATAAAAACAGTTAACCCCTGTGAATTATTATATCAGAGTAGCTGAGGAACTAAGACATTTGAGTCACAGTTGAAACTGTTCTGGTCCCCAAGGTCTCATTTGCATTATCCCAGTCCTCCAAACTTCCCACAATATAGTACTCACAGACAGGAAGTATAATATTCCCTCTTTTTCAAGTATATTTAAGAAAAATAGATTATACCCCCAACCCCAGGGCTATCAGTTTTGTAACACAGTGAGATGTTTTAAATGATATATTTTGAAATAAATAATGCTAAGAAAAATAAAACATGAATTTGTAGTGTTTAATAGTTGAATTAATTATTGTTGGCTGTTTATAATTATATGAATATTGGGTGATTTTGGATTGATACTGTTTTATGAGGGAGTCCCCTTCCCCTGTTATACTAACAATTTTCAGTCTGTTACTTAACAGTAACAGATTAACTGTCATGAACTGATACTCCATTTTTATAGGATCTAAATACTTTATAGATTTCTTTCAATATATAATTATGTTTGTATATAGTATAATAAGAATAAAATACCTTAATATATTTATTTTACCCTCCAATTATTTTGTGAAAAAGGAAATATAGTGTCTTTACTAGTTAGATAGAAATATTGAGATAAACAATTAAACAGGTTTATTTGTGTCACATTGTAGTGCAGAAATTAGAGAAAGCAGGTCAGCACACATGGTAAGCATGATTAGAATAAGCAGGCTCAGCACCTATGTGACATTGGCTGGGATACATGACACCAAGACAAGTAGATTTCTGTTCCAGATGAGGCTGCAATGATAGATAATATTCATTGCTGTGGTCACTATAGATAGCATATATAAAGTAACAAATCAGAAGCACAATCTAGTTTTGATTTGTAGGCTCAGAAATCTCATTTTAAAAAATATTATTTGAGACTTGAGCTACATCAAAGATAAACTCAGATTTCCAAGTTCCTGAGGCTGTTGAAAAGTCGAAATATAAGATTATTAATTTGCAGTAATAAATAATTATCACAGTGAACCATATACTGTAAATCCAATGGATTTTATTTTCTCTCCATGAGCAAATGAACTTAAAAAGTCAAATACTAATTAAGTTGTTTAGTGAGCAGATGACAGGGTGTTAGAGAACTCAGATGTGAGGTGGTGTCAGGCTGAGATGAGCTGATGTGTGAATGGTAGTGTTGTCGTGCCTCTGGGCTGAAATTCTTAAGTACTGTTTAGTAAATGTTCCCAACTTTGCTTTTTACATTGGGTATGGTTGGACAATCCTTCTGCCTCTGCCTCTCTGCCTTTCCCTCTCTGCCTCTGCCTACCTCCCAAGTGTTTGGATTACAGGTGTGCACCACCATTCCTGGCTCATGTGGTTTCTCTACAGGGATGATAATTCTCAAAGGCTGATGGCACCTTGGTCTTCCATGGACTATACTTGAATGATGCACTGCCAGCATTCCCTCAGAGGCCTTTCTTCTTTCTAGGCTTTGGCGTTTTTGCTTTAGATATGTTAATACATTCATTTAGAGTGCCTTTTTAGTTCCATTTGCCAAGAATGGTTATCTCCTTAAAGTTATGTTATTCATCTGCTTATAATAATTCTGACCAATTCTGTAGATTTTATTTCATTTTATGTATTTGGGTCTACAGCCTTTACTTACAGAGATAGCTAACTACCTGAGCCAAAATGTTGCCCAGGTTTCTGCTTGACTTACTATTCTGATATAATTGTGCTAATGAATATGCCTTGGTGTATTTGTCTAGGCTTATAGTTGTTATCTGCAGTTCTGTAATTGAGTCCAAATGGGAAATGGGGGAAAAACTCTGTTTGCAAGTTTCTGTTTCAACTAAAATTCTAGTGTCAATTCAATATATCATAAATACTATAGCTATCTTAGATGCCACTTAAGTGCCCAGAAGTGAAGATAAGGCAGACTCACAGAAATCTGTGTGTGTGTGTGTGTGTGTGTGTGTGTGTGTGTGTGTTTCCCTTCATTGTGTAGCACTTGTCATTGGAATACCTTTGGATTGCTAGAATTCATGGGAGCCATCAGGATTTATTTTTTTACTACTATAATATGTAGTATTATAATTAACTATTCAACTCTTAATTAGGATGTTGGTCAATTAATTCAATGGTTTAGCTAATATTTAATAGATTTTTAAAAATTATTACATTTATGTACTTTTGTGTGTATGTGTGTTGGGTGCACAACTGCCATGGCACACATATAGAAGTCAGAGGAGAACTTGAGGGAGTCAGTTCTCTCCTACCACACAGGTCCTGGAGATTAAACTGAGGTCATCAAACTTGGCATCAGGCTCTTTACCTAATGAGCCATCTTGTCAGACCAGTGTTTGTTTTTTTGTTGTTGTTGTGCTTGTTGTTCTTGTTGTGGGTTTTTTGTTTGTTTGTTGGGGGGGCAGTACTGAGAATAGAACCCAGAGCCTCACACATGCTAAGTAAATCAAACTGGATTTTCTAATTTGAAATTTTAATTACAGCAAATATAAGAGAAGTTGCTTCTTCCCAAGAAAGTCAAAACTACTGTGGTATATGCTCATAGATAGTATCTGGCTATACAAGCCCTGTGTATCTTCATGGGAAAACTGGGGAGTGGGGGCAGACTCAACAGCTCCTTTTTTTTTTAAAATTTTTATTTTATGTGTATACATGTATTGCCTGCATGTAGGTAAGTGCACCCATGTCATGCAATGCCTGCGGAGGTCAGAAGAGGCTGTCAGATCCCCTGGGACTGGAGTTATGGACAGTTGTTAGCTGCCATGTGGTTGCTGGGATTCAAACCTGGATCTTTTGCAAGAACAGCCAGTGTCCTTAACTGCTGAACCAACAGTTCCTTTTTATAGATTGATGTGAAAAAGCAACTTTTGTCTCTCTTTGGTAATAAAATTAAGCAATAGACATTACCAGAAGCCCTTAAGTTTTCTTTATTTTTTTTCTAAAGGAACAAGATAAAAAAGTAGAAAACGTGAATAAAAAAGAAATACAGGAAAAAGAGGCAATCATTGAAGCATTGAATAAAAAAATAAAAGAAGAAGAAGAAAAAACCCTTGAGCTAAAGGATAAAGTAATAGCTATTGATAAATTATTAAGAGAATTACAAGAACAGGTTGCAGATAAGGACCAGGAGATAAGAAATATGAAATTAGAACTGAGTAATTCTAAGCAAAAGGAAAGACAGTGTTCTGAGGAAATTAAACAGTTAATGGGGACAGTTGAAGAACTTCAGAAGAGGAATCATAAAGACAGCCAACTTGAAATTGGCACAGTGCAAAGAAAGGAACAAGAAGCACAAAGAAAATTAGAACAGCTCCAAGCAGAGCTAGATGAGATGTACGGGCGGCAGATAGTGCAGATGAAACAAGAATTAATAAAACAGCACATGCTACAGATAGAGGAGCTCAAATTTCTTCATAAGGAAGAAATGGAGAACACTTTAAAGTCGTTTTCAAATATTGCAGTTAATGAAGATCAGTTAAAGCTAATGAATGTGGCAATAAATGAACTGAATATAAGATTACAAGATACTAATTCTCAAAAGGAAAAACTCAAGGAAGAGCTAGGGGTAGTTTCAGGAGAAAAGTCTGCTCTACGAAGACAGCTTGAGGACCTCTTTGAAGAATTAAGTTTTTTAAGAGACCAGATTCAGAGAGCTAGACAGACAATAGCTGAACAAGAAAGTAAACTGAGCGAAGCTCATAAATCCCTTAGTACAGTGGAAGACTTGAAAGCTGAGATTGTTTCTGCATCTGAATCCAGGAAGGAACTTGAGTTAAAACACGAAGCAGAAGTTACAAATTACAAGATTAAACTTGAAATGCTAGAAAAAGAAAAGAATGCTGTGTTAGACAGGATGGCTGAGTCACAAGAGGCTGAGCTAGAGAGGCTAAGAACACAGCTCCTATTTAGTCATGAGGAAGAACTTTCCAAACTAAAGGAAGATTTAGAAATCGAACATCGAATAAATATTGAAAAACTTAAAGATAAGTTGGGCATTCATTATAAACAGCAGATAGATGGCTTGCAGAATGAAATGAGTCAAAAGATAGAAACAATGCAGTTTGAAAAAGACAGTTTGATAACTAAGCAGAATCAATTACTTTTGGAAATTTCAAAGCTAAAAGATTTACAGGAATCACTTGTGAATTCAAAATCAGAAGAAATGACTCTCCAGATCAACAAACTTCAAAAAGAAATTGAAATACTCAGACAAGAAGAAAAGGAAAAGGGTACTCTTGAACAAGAAGTTCAAGAATTACAACTTAAAACTGAATTATTAGAGAAACAAATGAAGGAAAAAGAGAATGACCTTCAAGAAAAATATGCACAACTTGAATCAGAAAATAACATTCTTAAAGATGAGAAGAAAGCCCTTGAAGACATGTTGAAAATTTATACTCCTATGGGCCAAGAAGAAAGATTGATAGCCATAGATCCTAGTAAGTCCAAATCCAAAGACTACAGCTGGCAAAAAGAAATAGAGATGCTTACAAAGGAAAATGAGGAATTCAAACTGCAATGTAGTCATCTAAAAGAAGAGATTGAAAAGCAAAGGAATACATTTTCATTTGCTGAAAAGAACTTTGAAGTTAACTATCAAGAGTTACAGGAGGAGTATGCTTGCCTTCTCAAAGTAAAAGATGAGTTAGAAGACAGTAAAACTAAGCAAGAATTAGAGTATGAAAACAAGCTTAAAGCACTTAGTGAAGAGCTTCATTTACAGAGAATAAATCCAGTGATGGTGAAAGTGAAAAGCTCTATTGATGATGACAAAACTTTTATATTGGAAACATTGGGAATTGGTGAGGTTGTTGAGAAAGATACAACAGAACTTATGGAAAAACTTGAAGTAACCAAGCGAGAAAAATTAGAGCTATCAGAGAAGCTGACTGGTCTTTCTGAGCAATTAAAACAGACACATGATCAGATTAATTTTCTAAGTGAAGAAGTTAAATCCTTAGAGCAAGAAAAGGAGCAACTTTCACAGAGATGCAAAGAACTAGAAATCCTAATGCACTGTACTAAAGCAGAACATGCAAATGTGCATGATGTTCAATTACACTCTTTAGAAGATGGGGTTCTGCCTATGAAAAGTGAGGGTTCTGGAGATTCTGTTTCTAAAATCAAGGATTTGGAGGAAGAATCAAAAATAAAGATAGAAGATAAAATTCCATTTGACAATATGACCATTATAAAAAAACGTGAGGAAGAACTTTTGCAGACAGTAACAAATGAATCATTGCCTGGGACAGCTGAACTATGTGAAAATGAAAAACTCCAGCAGGAGCTTCATGTACTTAAATCAGAACAGGTATGCTCAGTTATTTAAAACCATAGTGAAATGTACATCTATACTATAAAAGTTTTCATTTTCATAAATCATGAAACCATATTCTCTCCAGAGAATGAAAGTGAGCCTTTCATGTAATTCTCACTTGAACCTATCAGTTATCATTTACCATTTTTCCTTAAAGATCATTGCTTCTCTTTAATCTTTTATATATGCTGCTCAGAAAATAAACCAAGCTAATTTTGAAGACTAGAGTTTAGAGAGAATTCAGTTTTACTAATTTTATATTGTAATAGTTTTGTGTCAAAGATTATTTTTAATTTCATAGTCATATTTTCAAGTACATCATCTTCAATTAGAACTCTATCATTGTAAATTAGCTCTTGAGATTTATTGCTCTCTGTATTGTTCAGTAGTTAATAAAATTTTATTTGCACCAGGTGTGGTGGCGCACACCTTTAATCCCAGCACTTGGGAGGCAGGAGCAGGTAGATCTCTGTGAGTTCGAGGCCAGCCTGGTCTCCATAGCGAGTTCCAAGCTAGCTGGGGCTACAGGAAGACCCTGTCTCAAAAAGACCAAAATATATATATATTTCCTAGTGAATTAAGGCCTAGAATTTTATTAACTCTCACTATAAGTACAGAATTTTTAAAATACATACAATGAGTGTTCTAGTTTCATTCTACTGCTGTAATAAAATACTCTGAGGATGAAGAAATAAGTTTATTTTATGGGAAGAAGATATTTATTTGGCATACACTTCCAGATCACAGTCCACCAGTGAAGGAAATCAGGGCAGGAACTCAAGCATGAACTTGAAACAGAAACCATGGAGGAATGCTGCTTGCTGCCTTGTTCTTAGGTCACGTTTAGCTAGCTTTCTTACATAGCACAGGACTGCCTGCCAAGGGAATCATGCCACCCACAGTGGGCTGAACTTTCCCACATCAGTAACAATCAAGGCAGTTCCCCACAGATACGCCTACTGGGCCATCTGATCTGGGTAATCCCCTGAGACTGGGTAATCCCCTGAGACTTCCTTCTCAAATGTCTCTAGACGTGTCAAAAGAAGTACTGGAGCTCAGTAACCACAAAAGGAACTGCTATATCTGTTGCTAATGATGCTGCCCAGTACCTAGAACAGTATCTGATACAGGACAGTAAAATTTTAAAAAGTGAAAATAAAGCCCATCTTTGAAGCATCAACAGTGAAACAAAATAGAATTCATGTGAAGATCAGAATAGCTTTTGTCATTTATTATACAGCATTTTTCTAAATTTCCTAACATTTGGAAAGACTAAGAGATGTATGATGTCAGTGTTGAGAAAGAGTGAATTTTCATAATTCACAGGTATGATTGAATAAGAAATTAAGAAAATGAACTGGAAAGCCTTAAGTTAAAATAAATGCAAAAAAAATTAGAAATATCCAAGTCCAATTTAAATAAAACTGTAGTACTCCTATAATCCTAGCATTCAGAAAGCTGAGGGAAAATGTTGTAAATTCAAGGTTAGCCTGAGCCACATAGCAATACTTCTTAAAACAGAAGCAAACAGACAGTCCTGTTATACTTTAATGAAGTAGGATGGGACCTAAATAAATGGAAACTTTCATTGCTGAATGGTAATTTTTAATATTATACAGTGCTAGTTTGTCTTATGTAGTTCCAATTCACAGTGAAACATTACTGAAATTCAGCTTAATTAGTTAACAGTTGCTCTGTAAGGATAGATGTACATGAAGAACCAAGACTTTGTTTTTAAGCAGAATACATGATAAGTGACATATAGAGGACAATTTTAGGCTTAAATATTCTCTCTTTCTCTCCCTCTCTCTCTCCCTCCCTCCCTCCCTCTCTCCCTCTCTCTCCCTTTCCCTCTCTCCTTCTCTCCCTCCCTCCCCGCCCTCTTTCTTTGTGATTGTATGCCTCATGTGTAAGTGCCTAAGGAGGCCAGAAGAGGTTATTGGTCTCCTGGAATTGGAGTTACAAATAATATAAGCCATTAATTTAGCTGCTGGGAATGGAACTTGGGTCTTCTAGAGAATCAACAAGTGCTCTTACCTGCTAAGTCATCTGTCCAACCCCTCAAGGTACCAATTTAATAAAGAAGAAATACTGAAAATAGGTCAATTATTCAAAATGGTAGAATAGTGTCCAAGGACCTATGTTCAAAGAAAGTAGATGGAAAAAAATAAAATTAAATTAAGAGCAGAAATAAGTGAATTTTGGGCTGGTGAGATGGCTCAGTATTAAGAGCACTGACTGTTCTTGCAGAAGACCCAGATTCAAATCCCAGCACCCACATGGCACTAACAACCATCCATAATTCCAGTTCCTGTGGATCTGACACCCATTTCTGTCCTCCATGGGCACTGCATGACATGGGTGCACGAACATACACGCAAGCATAACATTCATACACATAAAATAAAAATTTTAAATAGAAGTGAATTTGAAATAACCAAAAGAGATTTTCAAGAAGTTTCATGGTTTATCATATGAAAGAATTGCCTATAATTATTAGACAGAGCTCCAAGATTATAATCAAGGTAGAAACCACAAACAAACCACAGCTAGAGAGATAGCTCAGCAGTTGAGAGCACTGGCTGCTACCACAGAGGATCTGGGCTCAGTTCACAGCGCCTACATGGTGGCTCGCAAATACCTTTTACTCTAGTTCCAGGGGATGGATTTGACACCCTCTGTGGACACTGCACACACATGTAGTACATTTACAAATACATGAAGGTCAAACATTAATACACAAAAAAATCACTCCTGTATGTTATAGAAAGTATGCTAATCTACTTGATATATTATTTTGATGGATTTTTTAAATTTTATGTGTATTTGTATACTGCATGTATGTAGATAAGTGTACCCATGTGGTGCAATGCCTGCGGGGGACAGAAGAGGCTGTCAGATCCCCTGGAACTGAAGTTACACACAGTTGTTAGCTGCAATGTGGGTGCTGGGATTTGAACCCGGGTCTTCTGCAAGAACAGCCAGTGTTCTTAACCACTGAGCCATCTTTCCAGCCCCTTTGATGGATTTTTATGGACCTCTCTAATGGTCATTTTTTAATTTGTTCAAGGGTAGTCGACATAATAATGACATAATTTTTATTTGATATATATAAAGAGACAGACAGACAGACAATCCCCATAACCCTAGTGGCGCACGCCTTTAATCCAGCACTTATGAGGCAGAAGCAGGAGACAGAGACAGGTGGATCATAAGCAGACAACAAAAGATCAGATCAGAATCTTTCTGGCTGTACTATAAAATTGAGATAGTGAATATATGATACTACTTTTCTTGCAGCTGGATGAACACAAAAAAAATTAGACTGGTTCCTTTATATGAATTTTTAAACTATGAAATATTTTCTCCTTTATACTGCAGTTCATACAAAAAACAGAAGTTAAATTATTATGTTACTTCCAATTTTTATAATGTTTATATATATATTCACTTTAAGAATGACTTACGGCTTCAGATGGAAGCCCAGCGCATATGCCTTTCACTGGTGTATTCAACTCATGTGGATCAGGTTTGTGAATATATGGAAAATGAAAAAGATAAAGCTCTTTGCAAGCTTAAAGAAGAGCTTATTTCTGCTCAAGAAGAAAAGATCAAAGAACTTCATAAAGTGCACCAGCTCCAGCTGCAGAGTATAAAAACAGAAGAGACAGGTAAATGGTTTCCGAGTTACCACCATGAAACAAATACATTTTCCTTAGAATCCACCATTTCATAATTCTGTCTTTGTCTCAGGACCCAGAGGGTAAGGTGACTTGTACATCTGATTCATGGATTTGTTGATTCATATAATCACTAGTCATTCATTTTAGTACTTGAGAAAGCTAAAAATCACTGATTCATTTTCTCAAAGAAGTATAATTCATCCAGAAAGAGTATGGAAAATTAACCAACAATTTCTGAACCATGCTGAACCACTTCACTAGGGAAACATTAGTGCATTTGTCTAAGTAGATATATATGATAATTTGCTGCATTTTTATTTGATGTAAACCAAACTTACAAATAGTCAGTTAGAAAGAATGGAAATATGAAGGAGAAAAGTTTAGTGCTTCCAGGGATGATGAAGCAGTACTCAGAAGGAAAATAGAACTGGAAATTTAGGGATGGCTCTACAGTTTTTAAATATTGATTTAAGACATTCATTTTGAAGAACTGAAAGTTCAAGCTGTGTAAGAAAGTAGTGGCAATAAAGCTGAAAAGATTGATAAGTGCCTGGTTAGATGATTTCTGTACCTTGAATGAAGCACGTTAAACGTTTTGCTATTGCTCAGACCTATGTAGAATTTAAATAGTGGGAGCAATAGTGAGATTTTTATTTAAGAGACACTAGTGAGACTAATTGGAAAATAATTTTAATTATTGATGGGAAAACTAAACCTTGGCCGTATTCCCCATAAAACAGATGTTGAGGTAGGTATTACTGAGAAATGACAGTTAAGTTTAAGAATTAAAGCTGCAGGTTATCTAATTGGCAGTTAATACTAAAGTTAAGAATGATCTTGAAGTTTCTTGCCTAGATAACTAGAATGAATAAATGTGGTTCCAGCCTCAAAGAGGAGCAGTCATAGAAAAAGTCCTTTTGGAACATACTGAGTTAAGCATGTCTAGTAACTTGGAAAATATTCACTAATCAACTAAAAATAGAAGTCTAAACTCAGGAGAGAATTTTAGGCTGAAGATAAAAAAAAAATGTAGAATTGATATGAAAGTAAAAGGGCCTAGGTCAAGGACAAGAATGAGATGTCCTGGGAGACTGTAGGAAATGATTGGAAAACCAAGATGGCACTGTAGGAAGTGACAGCATTTGAGGGACCATAAGTGAAGGAACAACCTGTATGGAGTACTTTCAGTTAATGTTTCAATGATTCTTAACAGGTTAAGTGAACTTCCCCTCTTTTATCTCTTGTCCTTCATTTTTACCTTTAGAAATGAGGTGCATCCTAAGCTTTCAGTGAATTCTCTGTTGAACAAAGTAGAATTTCAAGAGCTGCTTAAATAAGGACAGCTTATTTTTCACTTCAAGAGCTCTTTGGGCTTGAATTTAGTAAGATTTTAAGTGTGAGATATTCTATCCAGTATTTTCTAGATTGCAAATTAATGGTTCTGTTAATAGATGATAAAGTCAGCTCAGTGGATAATGATAAGCATTTCTGAAAAGAGTAGACTAAAACAAAAAATATTGGAGGGCATAACATGTAAAAGAGTAAATTAAAAATTTTTTTTTTTGCAATACCGAGACTCAAACAGCCCTTTCACATGCTAGGCAAGGTGCTCTACTGCTGAGCCATGTTCACACCCTGTGTGAATGAATACTGATCTGTGAAACTTTTGTTCCAGTTTTGCAAGGATATATTTGATAGATAATCAGGTATATTTCTTGTATTGGATTTTAGGTCACTGCATTATACCACTTTATAGAATAGAAATGACAAATCTTACAAATTTGAGACAATTAACATTGAGCAATGGAAAATAAATTTGAAAGAAATGAAATGTGTCTTATTTTAAGGAAGCTTCTAGTTAAAACAGATTAAATATAGCAATACTAACAGTTAAGGGCTCACTGCAGTAACTTTTCCACTAGGTGATCATGCAGAGCCTTTGCAGATGCTCATTGGAAGACTTCAGAAGGCAGTGTCTGAGGAATGTTCTTATATTTCAAAGGTAAGCTAGTGCTTAAAAAGTATCTTTGACATGAGCAGAATCATCCAACCTTGTTTTCCTGATATCTTACTTCTGGAACTATATTTAAAAAGCATTTCTTTCTTTCTTTCTTTTTTTTTGGTCTTTTTGAGATAGGGTCTCCCTGTAGTCACAGCTCGCCTGGATTCACTATGGAGACCAGGCTGGCCTTGAACTCACAGAGATCCACCTGCCTCTGCCTCCCAAGTGCTAGGATTAAAGGCCTGCACCACCACATTTCTGAATTTTAAGCTTAAAATGAGTATCTTAAGTTTTTTTCTGGCAGCAGATTTTTAAAAAAAGGAATTTAAGGCTTGGGATATGACTCAGTGGTATAGCACCATGCTCTTGAATCCCATCTCACAAAAAACGAACAGAGAAATGCAGATAAGTTGTACCACCAACATAGTAGACACTGTAATCATTGATGTTGCCAGAGAGGAGCTACTTAACCTTTCTGGGACTCAGTTTGTTCACCTGTAGATCCAAGTGGTCATGAAGGTTTCTAAAACCAACTCTAATGTGATATAATTTCATCTTAGGGGCTGTCCTGAAAAGTTGATACACTCAATGACTAACTGACACTGTAGTTTAACTCAGAAGTGCAAGAAACCTCAAGAAATATCGGCAACAAACAATTTGGTTTTAAGTCTAAAAGTTGTTGATAAGTTATTTCCACTTGTGTGGGAGACAAAGGGAAAAGTAATTTAGATGGCTTATCAAATAATTCTATGTACTGTTTTAAATGATGGTAGAATCTGTTGCTTAGGTAGGAGAATAACGTATCAGGTACTTTTAATTTTCTGTGTGGTAAATCACAGAAAATCACTCTTGCATGTTATAGAAAGTATGTTATATCTCCTACTTGAGATATTGTCATTTTGTTAGATTTTATAGACCTCTCTAATGGTCATTCTTTAATTTGTTCTAGGATAGTTGACCTAATAATTATATATGTAGTTACATATGTTATATATAATTTTTACATGATATATAGAGAGACAGGGTCTCCCTGTAGCCCTAGCTGGCCTGGGATTTGATATGTACACTGGGCTGATCAGAATCTCTTAGAGATCCACCTGCCTCTGCCTTCCATTTGCTAGGATTAAAGGCGTGTACTACCATGCCTGATAATAATGGGATATATAAAGGTACAGAGATCACATCAGAGTAAGCCTCAAGCTAGGAAGTGATAGCTTAGGGTGCAAGGTATATATATTCCATTATTAGAAACAGAAAAAAACAAAACAAAACCATAGTTTTGTGCAATCAAGATTTTCCTGATATAAGAATAATTCCATGTCAGAGGGGAAAACATGGACTTGTCTATCCTGCAGATTGATTTCATGTATAGATGAAGAGTGATTTCTGACTTTATTAACCATTTTTTGCTTCTAGGAGAGTGTTTTATAATCTTGTAATTTAAAATATTCTATTTGTTAACAGACTTTAAGCAATGTCTTTGGTGAATGTTATACTCCTTTAAAATATGAAGTGAATATAGAAGAAAGAGAGAATTCTGGTGTTTACATGTCTCAGAATCAAAACCCAGAATTGCAAGAGTATAAATATGAAGTTCAAGGTAAAAAGTTTTCCATGTTTTTAAACAGTATTTAATTTTCTTAAGTCAATTAATGATAAACTTAGCTCTAAACATGACTTAATTGCAGATAACTTTGCTATTTTAATATCTTGTCTTCAGTTATGAATTTGTATTTAGTATGTGCTTTTCATTTTTATATGGTAAAATTATGTGAAGATAATTGACACTTTTTACTTAGCCTTGTTTCTCTGTGCTCTGTTCCTCTACTTCTAACTTTTTCTTCATTCTAATTCTTTCTGTTAATTTTTCCATGCTGTAGAACCTAATCTTTAAAGAGTTATTGAATTTACTAAATTTAAATTACTAGTTTATTATTTTAAAAGTTAAGAACAAGAAATTGCCAATTTCTGTAATTGAAAAATGAGTTCTATTAAGAAATAATTTTCTTTTATAAATGTGGTATTAGTTGTTTTGGTTTTCTTTTAGCAAATTACAACCTCTATTAATTTTTTGTGTTCCTTCACAGATGTGTGTGCCCTGTCCATTTGTATAGATAATGAGCAAACTATATACCACTTAATAAAAACTACAGAAACTAGCATGTTTTAATATGAATTTTCAAGTTAGTTTTATACCAGTTCTTTCAAATTAATGATTTTAAAATTTTTTGATTACTAGATACATGGGTTTTATTACTACCAGATAGTTTTCTAAAGTTATAAATTGGTAAATAATGTTTATTGAAAGAGATAACCTTTTACTATGAAGTGAAATTATTATAATTGTTTGTCATCTAGATTTTCAAGAAAACATGCAAACCCTTCTCAACAAAGTGACTGAAGAATACAACAAGCTCTTGACACTCCAGACACGATTCACCAAGGTCCGTGAAATGGGAAATAGAATGTTTGCATTTATTTTATTACATGCTCTTTTAAGCTGTTTTATCAGTCAAGAAGTTCTAAAATAAGTGAACATAAAAAAGGATGTTGGAATAATAAGCCATTTATATAGAGCATTTGTATCAGAAACTGAAGAAATTTCCAGAAGTTGAACTATATGCACCTCCCTGAGACAGTGTTTTAAATCCGGATAGAGTATATACAGGTGTCTGACTTTGAACTATGTGAAAGAATTGCATTTAATCTATGTACAACTTTTTTTCCCTCTTTTTGTGGTACTGGAGTTTGAACCAGTGCACCGTCTGGGACATGAGTCTACCCCTGAGCTGCAATAGCCCTCTACACATAACTTTTGTAAACTGATGAGTTTAGTTGTTTAGCACATAGCCTATTAGTATCACATAGCAGGGTTCATATGGTTCCATTGTATTTTGAAATAGTTATTTTAAAAATGTGTTCATAGAAAGCAAGTAAGATAGTGTACATGACATACTATAATTGGTTAACTGTTTCAGAAAAATTAAACACATATTGTCAAGGACAAGTGCTGTAAGTCCAAGTTGTAGAAAGAAATCAAAAGGAATCTTCATTTATTTGGGGTGCTTTATGGTACTCAGTTCTATTAAAATGTTTAGGCAAAGTTTGAAGATTTTTAGCAGACAGTGGAAGTTCTATTGCTGATGAGAGATGTTTAGACTGAGTCATCTCTTTTCATATTTTCCTCCTCACTTCCCTTTCTTTCTTCCTTTGTCTCAAATCTGAAAGCAGGTATCTTATATATACTTACATGGGAAGGCAGGCTGTTCAGTAAAAATCTTTCATGAACTATTGTTTCCTTGTAGTTACTACTTTTTCTGATTCTCTTCCTGGCTGATTGAGAATCAATGGAGCATTTTCTTATTAATACCATAGCAGACTAGATTGTTGTTTTTCCACGCTAATTCTCCAACCTCCAAGGGCCCTTTTTTCTTTTTATTTAGGTTTCTGAAGAACACTGAGAATATCAGATGGTGATAGTCAGGTTTGTCTCTGACTTCAGATGGACTTTCAGGGTCACCTGGCAGTGTTTTTGTATGCTCATTCATCTTCTCATGTTCCCCAGCCGCAGATGTTCCCCAGCCTTAGAGTTCCTGAGGTTTCAAACACCACTTTAGTCTCTTTTTTCTCCTCTGATGACCTTAGCCCTGACTTCTCTGTCAGTCATGCGCATTATACCTTAACTCAGCTTGCTACCTCTTAATTTTCCAGTTACCTAAACTTACTTTGATTCTGTCTGGAAGTTTTTCTTTTTCCTCATCAATACTGTTTTATTTCCTATCCTTTCACTAATAATACCTACTTCCCGTCTCTAATTGGTATCTTGTTCCCCTCCCACCCTTCTGTTTTCAGACTCCTGTTGCTGTCTCTGTTTTTGTTGGTGGTAGTTTGTTTTGTTTGAGACAAGGTGTTCACTATGGCCCATGTTGGTCTAGAACTCACTGTGTAGCCCAGGCTGGCCTCAAGCTCACTACAGTCCTGCCTTCTACGTGCAGTGATTTTAAGAATGAGCTTCTATGTGACACGTGGTCTGTCTTTTTTCCCCCCTACATTTCTGTTTTCCTTTCTCTCTGGTATATTTGTTCAGCTCTCTGATTTAGAGTATAACTTGCCCTTCCTTAACCTGACATCACCCCTTGTCTATGGTTCTTTGTTTTCATTGTGGTCACGTTCTCTGAGAAAGTGAATTATGTTTAGGCAACATTTTCCATCCCATCATGCTCTGTTGCCTCTTCTGTAAATGAGCTTCTGTCATACACTCCTAAAGTTACTTTGAAAAAAATGACCAGTGAAATGACCAGATTTCCTTTTGTTCTCTTCTGTCCTCATTTTCAGTCTTTGAAAAGTGCTGCTTTTCCTTATATCAGTAAGTAGCTGAAACTATTAACTAGTGTAAGAGGTTTTATAATAAATACAAACAATCATCATCATCTTCACTTTGCCTGTTTTGTATAAGGACAGTGAGCAGGAACTGTTTACTTTCATGAAAGACATGTTTCTTTTCTCTTGTAGTCTGTGAGAGGGTTTACTCTGGAACACAGGCCCACACTATCCTATTTGAGAATAAGCTTTACTAACTACCAAATTTTTGACCATGAGAAAGGCTATGCTGTGGTTAAAGCAAATGGCCAACACAGTTATCTTCTGCTCTTTGCCTTCCTTCTACCTGTCATTGTGCTGTTCTCTGAACCTGGGGCCTCTAAGATTCTAGCAAGTGCACTGTCTCCTGTGTGGCTGTGATACCCTCCAATATCCTGTAGGCTGTTGATTCATCAATGATTGCTTCCTCAGTATTCTTCCATCTTTTTCTATCTTCTAGAACTTGTTTAAATTTCTCTCAATGTTAGTTTTCTCATCTATTATGGTTTTATAACTTTATTTAAATCATTTAAAAATTTTTTATTTTGTGTGTATGAGTGTATTGCCTGCATGTGAGTGCACCCATGTTGTGCAAGGTTTTATAACTTTTAATTGTATGTGTGTGTGTGTGTGTGTGCGCGCGCGCGCGCGCACATGCATGTACATGCATGCTGGAGACTGACCCACCTTCCATTCCTCTTTTTGTTATTTTTGTTTTTTTATGTTTCTGGGTTATTTTGTTTTGTTTAAGATAATGCCTTATTATGTAGCCTGGGCTGGCCTGGAACTTGCTTTGTGGCTCAGACTGGCCTTGAACTCACAGCCTGTGCCAGGTTTAAAGGTATATGCTGCTATATCCAACTTCTTGCTTGTTCTTTTGACAATTTTATGTGAAATTTTTGCTTTTAAAAGCATGTGGAGGTAGGGGACTAGAGAGATGGCTGGGTGGTTAAGAGCCCTGGCTGCCCTTGCAAAGGACACTGGTTCAGTTCCCAGCACCCATATTGCAACTAAAATAACTCCAGTTTCAGGATATCCATCGCCCTCTTCTGGCCTCTACAGGCATTGCATATACATGGTGCACTTACATACATACAGGCAAAACACTCATACACATATAATAAAAATAAGTAAATCCAGAATATTTTTTAAAAGTATATGTGGAAGTTTTCTTAAACAACAGTTTTTTTTTTTTTTTCCTTCAAGTTGAAAGAAGGTTAAAAAACACTTTGGTTTTTTTTTTTTTTTTTCTCTAAAAGAGCACATACTTCTGTGTTTCAAATTTGAGCCTTCACTTTGCAATCACAGGCATTAAAAAAAAAATGCTTAATCTTGGAACTGGAGAGATGGCTCAGCAGTTAAGAGTACTTACTGCTCTTGCAGAGATCCCAGATTCAGTTCCTAACACCCACATCAGGAAGCTCACAACCACCTACAACTCCAGTTCCAGGAGATCCCACACTCTCCAGCCTCTGGAGTCCCCTGCATGTACATGGTATACATAAGCTCAAGCAGGCAAATACACATAAATAATAATAAATAAATTTTTTAAAGAATGCTTAATCTTAATCTTTCCAAGTAAATTTTTTTGTGCATGTGTGGTATTGGCACTTGCACAGGGCTTTACACCTACTAGGCAGGTGAGCTTCTTCCTCACCCCATGTTATTTCTTGTGTATTTGTTGCTTTCTGAGAAAAAAAAAATTCTTTAATTTCTATGAATTTTTAAGCCTTTGTTATGCTTACCCTATTTATACTTACCAAAGATCTGTGGGTATTTTGTTTGTTTGTTTGTTTTTTAATGTGTGTGTTTTTGCCTGCATGTATGTAAGTGCACCATGAGGGTACAATGCCTGTGGAGGCCAGAAGAGGGCGTCAGATCCCATGGAACTGGAGTAAGGGATGGTTTTTAGCTGCCATGTGGGTGCTAGGAATCAAACCCAGGCCATACTATTAACAGCTGAGCCATCTCTCTAGCCCTGAACCTGTATTTTTAAAATTTTATTTAAATATTTTATTTGTTATTTTTATTTTATGTGTATGAATGTATTGCCTACATGTATCTGAGTGCACCCGTGTCGTGAAATGCCACGGAGGTCAGAAGAGGGCTTCAGAGTCCCCTGGAATTTGAGTTAAGGACAGTTTGTATCCGCCATGTGGGTGCTGGGAATCGAACCCAGGTCTTCTGCAAGAGCAGTCAGTGCTCTTAACCACTGAGCCATCTCTCCAGCCCTGAACCTGTATTTTTCATCCTGTTCTGACAGTGTATGCTTTCATAGCTCCAGATCTCTATGTCTGGGTCAGTTTTTTTCACTGACAGAGTACCTGAGACAGTTTAAGAGGAAGAAAAGTTATGAGGTTACCATGGTTACTTGAACCTACTGTTTTGGCCTGTGGTTTCACATTACATCATAGCAGAAGCACTTGATGGATGAGACCTGTTCTCATGGTGGCTTAGAAGCAAAAAGAGAGGTGAGGGAAGGTGCTGGCATCCAGTATCCCCCTCAAGGGTACGCCCCTTATGACCTAACTTCCTACCACTAAACACTACCTCGTAAACGTTTCAACAGAGCCTTTGACATTTGGGGCATTTGGAAAACATTCAAAATTCTAGCCATAACAGTTAGTCCTTTTGAACTACAGGGTCATCTCTACTTGGATATCTCTACTTGAAAGTAATTTATATATAGATCTCAATCAAGATTATAAAGTTTGCATTTATTAGCTTCTTTCCCCCTAAAGTAGTTTCGCCTCTCCATTTTGAAGAAAAACATCCAATCAGAACTTAGATAGCTCTCTTCCTGACCATTGAGTGTCCAAAAGAAAAAGAAAGATAGAGAGAGAAGGAAAGAAAAGAAAAGAAAAGAAAAGAAAAGAAAAGAAAAGAAAGGAAGAGAAAAAAAAAAGGAGAGAGAAGGCAGGCATGATGGCACACGTCTTTAATCTCAACACTCAGGAGGCAGAGGCAGAGCAGATCTCTGTGAACTCAAAGCCAGCCTGATCTAATAATGAGTTCCAGGCCAGCTGGGGCTACAGGGAGACCCTGTCTCAAAAAAACAAAAATAGATACCTTGTTATTCAGTTATCCACCCAAAACTTTTCACTTTGCTTATTATGTCCCATGTTGTTCTTTGTTCTAGGAATATAATGTAAATAAAGTTGCAAGACTGAAAAAATTTAGTAATTGATAGCACTTATAAACTAGCTTGAGGAATTTGTATATATTTATAAATAGCTGTCCAAGGCAACATGTACTGTTTGAAAGAGAAATACAGATAAGCACTTTAGAAATTAAGGAAACGGGTAGATGACTGTAGCGTGAAATAATTAAGGAAGATTCCTTGAAGGAAATACATCTTCAGCTCAATCATGTGAAGTGTGTAGGTTTCGATAGAAGTGGGGAGGGAAGAGTATTCCAGTCAGAATAGATAATACGATCCAAGTCTTCAGGGGGAAATTGTGGTATATTTAGAACATGTTGATGAGAGAATAAGACCATGACGGGAAGAGATAGACTGTAACAGATTGTGATGCTACGCTTGGATTTGTATTTTCTAGACATTTCACAGCTGATGGATATTTGTGTTCATGGGCTAGACATTTTAGGTAGCAAAAGAAAGGCAGTTCACAAAATATTTTAGAGAAAATCCTCAAAGAATTTCATAGTGCAATATGGAGAAAAAAAAGTATAGAAACAGGGCCAAGTTTTTTGTTTTTTGTTTTTTTAGTCGCTATATTTATAAAACTTGGGCTTCAGATGTCTGTGTACAGTACTCCCTGTTGATTTGTCAGGAATCCCCAAGAATACTCCCAGGTTCAGTGATTGATAGTAGGACCCAGATTTCAGCATGTAGCTGTGTTGAAGGCCATGCCAAAGTCAAAACATTCAAAGCAAAATCAGCTTTGGAAGGGCTTAAAAGGTGCAGGGCACAAGTCCTGAGACAAGCAGGTACAAATGTCCTTTCCCAGTACAGTCACAGGACATACTAATTCTTCCAGCATGAATATAATAACGTGCAAATTGTTGTTTCCAAGGGAACTCACTCACCTAGACTTAAGAGTCCACAGTGTGCTATGAGGTGTCAATTACCTAGACCCTCTGTAAAATCTAGACTTGAGAAGGAAAGCATAAGCCATAGTGATTTACACTCTAGGCATAATGATAAGCCAACTTGTCATTTAGGCAATTTTGTATTGGTTTATGAGTCAAGTTTCCCAATTATATTGGTTTATGAGTCAAGTTTCCCAATTTGCTGCCAAGGACAAAACTTGTAAGCACATCTTTCTAAACACAAGCAGTCTCAAAACTGCTGTCTTAACTCTTTTCTGCCTATTGGGTAATGAGTGATTTTTAAACACAGAAAAGTAGCTATAATTGCAGAAGCATTCCAGAATTTGTAGAGTCAGGACCACAGTATATTATAGCATAACTCCCCCCCGCCTTTTTTTATTGTTGTTTGGGTTTTTTTTTTTAATTTGTTCATTTGTTTTATCTTTTTGAGATAGGGTCTCCCTGTAACACCAGCTGGCCTGGAACTTGCTATATAGACTAGGTTGGCCTCTGTCACACAGAGATTCCCCCTGCCTCTGCCTCCCCAGTGCTGAGATTAAAGGAGTGGACCATCAGGCCCAGCTACTGCACAACTTTTTAATCCTTGTTTTAATCAAATGTATTGGAACTCATACTGCTGGGCTTTGTTGCATGCTTCTGCCTAGTAGCACCCATCCTCCAGTCTTCTTGGTTTGTTCCTATTTCTTGTTACAATTAGTTTTTAGTTGTTATTTTCTTGGTGTCCTCTTTATCTGCCTTCCTAGACTTAGCCATCTTTCCATTTCTCTTAGCTTCTATAAGCCTAAGTGCTTGGTCACCCTTCTTTCATGTTTCATAACACCCTGTACAAGCTTGTGTTGTGTCACATCACTCTTCTTATTTTACTATAATTATTTGTTTACTGATCTCCCACTTCTACTGGATTCTAAACCTTCAGAATCAGGGAATCCCCTTTTATTCCCTCCTGTTAGCACACTTGATTACACATGGTAAAGGATTAGGTATTTGTGAATGAAGTAGGTAAGAAGATGAAAATACCAGGGTGAAAATTTAGGATATTACCTGGTGGTTTTTCTTTTTTTCCTTGGGAAGTAAAGAGTAAGATCCCCCTTGAAACATACTCAGGGGCCTGGAAAGATGGCTCAATTAGAAAGTACATGCTGTGCAAGCATGAGGACCTGAGTTCAATCACCTAGAACCCCACGTAAAGGGTGGTGTGTGACTAATCCCAGTTCTGCAGAGGTGGTGACAGGAGGATCCCTGGGACTTGCTGGCTAACCAGTCTAGCCTAAATGGCAAGCTCCAGATTCAATATGAGATACTGTCTCAAAAAATAAGGTAGAGTGTAATAGAGGAATTAGCTGATGTTGGTTCTGTCTTCTATACACGTGTATGCATCCACATGCACATGCATACACAAACGTATACATATGCATAACACCATACACACGCGTGCACACAGACACATGCACACATATAGATTTACTCAGGAGGTTGGAGTGTGGTAGAGGACACTTGATGAGAGTGACCAGTTGAAAAGACCTTCTAGAGACATAGCTTTCATGTTGTTACTTACCTGCTTTTATAGTAGCATCCTGTGTTCATCTAGTCCAGCAAGTCTAGGCTCATTCCCTTTGCTTTTAAAGCTCCCTGTAGCTTAGATCTCCTTTATTTATCTAGCTTTATTTTCCCTTTTTTATCCAAATGAAGCCTGTTAGCCCCTGTCAGCAAGTCAGTGTCTTCAGTAGTACAACATAGGTCGTCTTTTCACAGAGACTTTCCAGAAAGTCATTGCTGCAAACGATTGAAGCCCAAATCAAGTTTGATCCTCACCCCCTCCCTAGTTACGCGGATTCATTTCTGTCTTCCTTCAGTGTCATTGTCGTCATGTCCAGACTTCATAATTCAGTACTTCACAAGTAGTTTTATTTCTCAAAATTCTGTGAGGACAGATACAGTATGTGTATGTGTGTGTATTACGCATATATATATATATATATACACACACACTTTTAAACTGATTTTGAAGCCTTCTGCCTCATCACAGTGCTGGATGTTTAGTGTCTTAAATCTGTGAAGAATGATTAAATGAATACACAAGCATCTAACATATTGCTGCTTAGCTTTCATAGTAAAGAAATAAGCAGAGATTATCTGTGTTGGTTGTTTTCCTTCCTTGTGTTGACTGTAATGTACAGCATATCATTTGTCAGTTACCTGGTTATCCCCATTATCTAGAGATGAATAACAGCTGTATTGTCAGGTATTGATAATAAAATTTCATCATGTTTGAGCTAAAATTTCAAAGATGAAGTTGTGCTTTCGGTTCAAATTTCTGTGAAACATTTTCTTTTGAGAAGTGAACTTTCTCTTGGATATAAAAGAACATTACTAATATAATTTCAGTGCCATGAAGGGGAGTGACTATGAATCACTTGTCAAAGAGAAACAAAATGTTCATATCAGAGTGTCGTAGTTTTAGATGATTTTTTAAAAACTTAATGCAAGGTGCTTTCATTGTTCTAATAGAGATTTCCAAAATCCTGGATCATGTATTTATGTCACTGCTCTTCTCTTGTTTTCAATAGATTCACAGACAGCAAACAGTTGGGATGCAACTTGAATTCGCAGAAGAAAACCTGGCAAAAGAGGAAGCAGAGTTTTTATCAGTCCAGTCTCACATGACCAATTCACAAAATATTGGTAAATTTTAAGCTTTATCATATTACGGTGCTTTTGTACCAAATATTTACAAATTTGCTTTCTTATTATAAAATTTGTGATAATTTGATGATCATGAGCATTTCTCTGCAAGCTATCTGATTCGGTTTTCTCATCCTTAAAGTGAAAGATACAGACTCCTTATCTCTAGTCCTTTCTCATTTCTTACATTCCATGTTTCTGAGTTGTTTTAAATTTAGATAGAAAAAATGATCTCAGGTCATACCATTTGCTTCAATCAAAATAAGTAAGCTTGAAATCTGAGTTATTACTAAAAGCATATTTTATTATTTATTTTATTTTATTTTTTAGTCTTTGTTTTCTTTAATTAAACCATCATGTTTCCTTAAGAGCAGAAAACTTTTTTTTGTAAATTTTTTATTACATTTTTGTATATTTCATATAGAACATCTTAATTAATCTTAATTGTCTCTATACCCTCTTCCTTATTGGCACCCTCTCCTAGCCCCCACCTCCACTGGAATTGATACATTATGTCATTTGTGTTAAGATCTATCATGTCACATTAGTATCCTCAGACATCCCTCAGTGCAAGTTCATCTCTGGGGTCTAGTCCGCCTATCTAGAGTCCCTCCCTTTAAGAAGATCAGCTCTTTCTCACCCAGCAGTAATCAGCTGCCAACAGTTTTTTGACTAAGATTGGAGCTAGTTATCCATTTCCACAGTTCTGTGCTGGGGTTTTGTCTGCTTAAATTTGCATAGGTCATGTGCATGCTAACAACATTGCTGTAGGTTCATATGAGCAAGGTCCCAGGAGCCTGTAGGCCTCTTATTTCCGTATGGTCATGCACCTCCTCTGTGGCTCTTACAATCTTACAATATTTCTGCCCTCCCTCTGAATGGGTGGAGTTTAATATAGGAGTCCTGTCTAAGGACCCACAATCTGCAGACTCTTACTCGCTATGCTTTGGCCATTTGTGACCTTTTGTGTTCCTGGTCCTCTGTTGCATGACGGAGCTTCATTGATGAGAACTGAGAGATGCATTAGTGTCCTCTTTACCTCTTGTTCTATGTTCCGTGAGCGTTAGGTGTAGAGGTTGCATTGTAGATTTGCCACTTAGGCCTGGACAATTCTTAGACAGTGTCTGTGTGTGACCAGTTGTGGAACTCTGTAATAGTCTCCATCTGTTGCAAAAGAAACTTTTTTTGTCATTTTTATTTTATGTGTATGAATGTATTGCCTGCATGTATATGAGTGCACCTGTGTCGTGCAGTGCTGCAGAGGTCAGAAGAGGGCATTGGATTCCCCTGGAACTGGAGTTATGGATGGTTCTTAGCCACCATGTGGGTGCTGGGAATTGAACATAGGTCCTTTGCAAGAGCAGTCAGTGCTCTTAACCACTTAGCTATCTCTCCAGACCCTAAAAGCATTTTTTTCAGAAAAGCATATATGTTTTTTATATACACAATTAGTTAATTGTGCTATTTCACTAAGAAATTTGCTATTGAAGTATGCCTTTTATATTATGTTCCTATAACACAGGTGTCAGTCATAAAAACAAATGGTCTTCTCTGAAAGATACGGAAAAAATTAAACAACTTGAAGAACAAGTTCAAGAACTAGAGTACCGCATACTCTCTTTACAGCAACAATTGAAAGAAACTGAAGAAAACTATGTAGCAGAGATCCAGTGTTTGCAGGAAAGACTTCAAACTCTGAGTGAGTCCACAGCTCAGCCAAGGTATCTATTTACTGTCACTCATCAGTATATGTAAGCTTAGTCAATATCTGGAATGATTATTTTAAGATAAAAATGTCTAAAATAAGAACAGGATATCATTCTGTTCTTTTGAAACACTTTAGGAATTTTACTTAGATTTTTTCTAAGGATTTTGTTCTGCTGGATTAAATCTGGTAGAGGGAATGCATTTGTCATGTATTCTACACCTTGCCTTCACTACTTGGATTTGGTGAATATCCAACTAGTACAAGATACAGTCATTCCTCATGGCTGAATTTCCTTCACTTGGTTATGGTGTGCTAAAATTTATCATAATGTAGTGATGGGCCTTTTCAAAGTGTTCCTTTTGCAGGTGTCTCCATTTGTCATGACCCCTGTTTTTCTCTCATCTCTGTTCTACTCTATGATGAATCCTGTTTTCTCCACCTTTAAAGTACATGGGAACTGCACCACCTCCCACCACCCCACTGGTCCCTACTCTTGTCATGTAGACCTATTGCAGTCAACCCAGGTGCCAGCACTTTGCTCTTTAAAACTTAAGAAAGATCATGTTACTCCAGTGCCCTTCTGTCCTACATAGTAAGTTCCCATGCCCTTTCTCTCTTTTTTCACATGCTGCCCTGGCTATCACTATGTATTCTCAAACCATACTTCCTCCTTGGAGTCCTTAACAAATAGATCAGCATGCTCCTGCTTAAAAGGCTTTCTCAGGGCTGGAGAGATGGCTCAGCGATTAAGAACACTGGTTGTTCTTACAGAAGACCTGGGTTCGAATCCCAGCACCCACATGGCAGCTAACAACTGTCCATAACTCCAGTCCCAGGGGATCTCACAGCCTCTTCTGACTGCCACAGGCATTGCACAACATGGGTGTGCTTACCTATAGTCAGGCAATACAAGCATACACATAAAATAAAAATAATAAATAAAATTTTTTTTTAAAGTTAAAAAAGGATTTCTCATTGACTGTCCTCCTTCTCAGAATGGTCATTCACCAGTTGTTGACATGCCCAGCACCCTCACCTCCTTTGGGTTTTTATATTGTCAAAAGGCCTTTTTTGGTCACCTTACATGAATTAGCATTGTGTCTGGTGACTATAAACTTTTAGGAGGGACGGGGAATCTTTGTTCATTTAAGTACTTTATTTAAAGCCCTATAATTCCTTGAGTATAGTAGGTGCTCAGTAGATACTTGATAAAGGAATTTTTTATAATGTATTTGGGAAGCATACTTTAGCATGTAGCTAGTTCTATAAAAACCAGAGATTTATTCTAACTTTGACTGGCCCTGCTGTTCTAGGATTGATGTTTTCATAGGCACTTGTTAATGGAACTATACCGCAGTTGTTTTTTTATGGTGGTGAAAGATACATTGAATGTTCTTACTTTTTTGAAAGCAGTCATA